GATGAGGGGAGACGCTGGGATGGAAATAGCCAGACGCGGCAATTCAGCGTCACCTGCCCCACCTGTCAGAGCGAGGAGGCACACTCACACGAAACATAAAGCCGGCGAAAGATAAATGAAATGAAAATCCTGTGAAGCACAAACAAAATGCAAAGCTTAGACATACACACAAACAAAATGTACAACTCATAAAACACAAATGAAATGTAAATACTATAAAACCAGGGTTGCCAACTTTGGTCAGCTGGCTGGAGTGAGACTTTCAGTTCGAGACACGTCTGCACACGCATGCACATGCATTTACATGTATGTAATGGTTTACCTTGTAAATAGTGTGTATTGTTTCCCAAATGTTGTTGATGCAACTAATTTTAGGCATAAAATGGAATAATATAGGTTTGCCATAAGATTTCTTGTGTGAGTGTGACAGCCTGAAGGTGTGAGTGTCACGCCAGATGTGTGAGAACTGGCAACCCTGCATGAAGCATTAACAAAACGTAAAGCCAGTAAAACACAAACGAAATGCAAGGTTTACAAAACACAAATGAAATCCAAAGCTTAAACATACAAAGAAACAATGTAAAACTATAAAAAAAAACACAAACGAAATGTAAAGCAGATAAAACACAAATTAATGGCAGCACACGTGTGGACCGCGGCTCCAGAGACCGCCGCGTTAATGTTAGTCTGTGTTCATCTTTGTTGAGCGTCAGTAATTGGATCAGTAACACCACCTCCCTAACCAAGGAGGCCCAGCAACGAGAACACTTCTGGAGGGGACTGAAACGGGCAGGCCTTCTGCCTCACATCCTCACCAAGTTCTACAGAGGCACCATCGAGAGCTCTGACCAGCTTCATCACTGCCTGGTACGGCGACTGCACCACGTCTGCAAGTGCGTACAGGGGACAGCGAGCACAGTGACGAGCATTATGGGGGTGCCTCTGTTCTGCAGGCGCGGTGCCTGCAAGGCCTGCAGCATTGTGCAGGACCCCTCCCACCCCCCCACAAGGACTTTTCACACTTCTGCCACCAAAGAGGAGTTACTGCTGCGTCAGAGCCAGATCTGCCAGGCTGTGGAATAGTTTGTACCCCCATGCTGTCAGGATACTGAACACCACGCTGCCTCGTAGGACCTTCCCCCCCCACCTCAGCAGCCTAGATCACTCCCCGCTTACAACCACACTCACACTCATGCATGGTCACATTATCCGAAGGGCCAGACAGACTGTCACAGCCTTGACTCTGAATGCACACAAAGCTCTTTGTCTTAACCGAAACACAGGTGAGAACCCAACTGTTACTGTAACTATTATTACTACTATTATTACTGCTAAAATGATCGATTTCCTCATCACTGATCATATACTTCTCTAAGCTACGGATCCATGCTGTACTCAGGTCTCAACTATTATCCTCAATTATTAGCTACTGTACATTCATCATACACTTACATTGCATGATATTATAACTCTGTTCCATGTTAGATTAACATGTTATTCTGGATACCTCAGTCAGACACACAGAACTTTCCCTCCCAAGCTGAACTTTAACTATGTGAGTGCAGTTACACTGCATCTAATGTATCTCTGTGTATTTATGGTAGTTGCTGTATGTTGCACTGTTCTGACTGTCTGGGCACAATGTCTTATTTGCATTCATGTGTATACTGCGGACTCTGAGCTCTTAGCCATTTCGTCTCTCTGTATGCTGGGATATGATGTGATGACAATGAAGTTCACTTTGACTTCTGACATAAAGATCCTGTAAAACACAAACGAAATGTAAAGCCAATGAAACACAGACGAAATACAAGACAAAAGCATATAAAATGTAAAACTTCCATCCACAGCCACTTAATCCTGTTCAGGGTCACGGGGCGGGGGTCTGGAGCCAAAGGAAACGGGGGGGGGGGGGGTGACAGTGCTAACTAGTGCACCACCATGCCACCCAAACGCAAAACACAAAAGCAATGAAAAGCCTAGACAACACAAGTGAAATGTAAAGCCTCTACACAGACAAATGACATATACAGACACAAACAAAAGGTACAAGACAGACGTGAGCAGGGGGCTGAAACGCGGCAGCAGAGAGACGCTGCGGTTATTAACTGTACCCACAGAAATATCGAGGTTCTGGCCTGGGCGTCGTCACGGAAGGTTCCAGCCTGCTGTTTGCCTGCAGGTTTTCATTCAAATCCATCCTTCTGACTTAATCGGTACAAGTAATGGTCAATTATCTGCACTATTTAAACCGGTCTGTCTCCCCTGGGTGCCCAAAGGGCAGCTTCCTGTGTTACACTGTGTTACAGCTGTACATCAGACTGATACCCTTGACCCGGGTAAATGTCTGCTCTGCTCTGCAGTCAGCACAGGGCAGATGAGTTCAGTGAAATGCTGGGACGTGTCCGCTCCCGGGATGAATGACGTACCTGGAGTGACGTTTATGCATGTTTATATAGACCAGTGCTCACCACAGTCCACTAATATACCGCAACGCATGCGAATGCAGATCGCACGACTGTCCCCCCAGTCAGCAAATTTCTATGGAACTATGGAATCCCCCCAGGTAGCAAACTTTTATCATCAGGGACCCCCACCTCTGTCGGAAATTTGTTTGTGACGCAGTGGACCTTGGTGTTGCTGGGCCTGTCTCAGCATGTCACATCTCCCTCCACAGCCCAGGGAGCAGAGCCGCAGGTCCGCAGGTCCGCAGGTCCGCAGATCCGCAGATCCGGCTGCGCACCGCCTCGCAGACCCTCTTAAATGCAGACGCCTCCGTGGTCGTCTATTCTCGCGCCGCATCCCGCAGCCTCGGTGGAAGGCCATTCCTGTCCAATCCCCAGCTGCTCACTGGGGTGCGTCGTCGGCGTGCGGCTGCGGCTGGAAGCAGGGATTGGGCGGCGGATGGGAAGACAAGGACGTTGAGGTTTTTTTTCCCCCCCCCCCCCCCCCCCGCCAGCTTTGTCCTTTAGCGCCCCCCTGTGATTAATATTTATTTATTTCTTCCTCATTTTTTTTTTTTTTGAGAAATTACTGCCCCCTTCCTCGCATGTCGAGCCGAATCCTCATTACAGACTCCTGGAACACCAGGTTGACAGGGATCAGGTGACACCCTAGAAAAACAGGAGGGGAAGCCGACCCCGGCTCTGCCGCTGCCGCCGCTCGCGTCCCTCTCCTCGCCACCTCCCGGTAAATTGCCTATTATTTCTCAGCCGTCCGTCTGCTCCCTCCTTCCTGTCCTCTCCCGCCGCTCGCAGCTAATGACAGCAGCGTACCGAGGAGATGCCGATCAGTTTTGGGGGGGGAGGTCTCTCATTAAACAAATACGACGCTTGAAATCATGGTTTTGAAAATGGCACTGGTCCTCCATCTCCAGCACAGTTGGGTCCCCCTGATGGACATCGGGTCCAAGCCCTCCTCAGACGTCCCATCTCTCAGTTTGTCCGTCCTCTGCCACTGTCAGCCCTGTAGTGACCGACCACTCCCATGATCCTCAGGGGCACGGCGTGTTGTGACTGGGGGTGGCTCATTAACGTACAGTGACTTGTAGACGGTGAAGGATTCGATTGACTGCTGTCACTACAGGGTCACCCACTGAAACACACGTCTCCCGATCCACCTAGGAGTCTCTCTGGGGTTTATAGAGGGTTTGGGAACAATTTTGCAGCAGAAATTTTAAACCCAAGTGTTCAGATTGCAAGTGGAGGTGCTTTGGTCTGCAACAAACTTAGAATCATTTATTCATTCATTTTATATACCCGCTTGTCCTATGTAAAAGGCTTGGGGTCATTCCGGAATGCATTCATCAACTCCAATCCAAATCAGTAAATTAAACGGGAGTTGGAATTTTAATCTCCCTGAAATTCGAATTCCGTTCCAATTCTGTGCCCCATAGTTTTTTTTAAAATCCCAAATCCAGTTCCAATTCCTGATTTGGATTGGAATTGATGAATGCATTCCAGAATGGCCCCAACCCTGCAGGGGATCCATGATCAATGGGTGCAAGGCTGGGAGTAACCGAGGATGGGGCGCCAACTCATCGCAGAGAGTTACAAAAAAACTAATGAAACAATAAATGGACTTGATTCCTCCCCAGGAAAGCTATAACTTAGGGGGCATTTCAGAGCACGAAAGAGCATTTGGCACCTGCTCTGTCCGGCACTCCGCTCTCTGCGGGCTGCTTCTTCATGACGTTCCAAGAAGTGTGAATCGGTTGAGACCGCGAGATCGCACAGCGGAGCCCTCGACTGGCGCGATGGAGGGGCCGGTGCCGCGGTGGTGACGCGCGCCCCCCCGACGCCGGCCTGCTGCCGCGTCCGCAGATGTCGTGGAAGCTTCCCCCACACCGTGTGTCGGGAGCGAGAGGGGCCAGATTTCAGCCTCGTCAGCATGGCAGCGGCGGTACGGACGCATGCCAGTCTGCCGCAGTCCCCAAGCTGCCTGCCGCGCTGACGGCCCGTCACGCCTGACGCGTCCCTGGAAGTCACGCTGGCAGCCCGCTGCCCAGCAGCCGCTGCCCTTCGGGTGACCTCTGACCCTCCGAGACTCTCTGACACCGAAGTGAGAAGATGTAGCTGGCCGTCCCGGGAGAACAGAAGAGCACGAAACGCAGAAGGGAACTTGAACTTTGTTTTCTGCTGTGTGTTAGTGGCCAAACCTAGCGAGCATTATTTATGTCATTATTTGCTTACATATACAAACCAAATGCGTGATTAAGTGGATGCAGTGCTGTATTTCTGTATGCAAATACAAGAACTTTTGTCTTCCATAAATCCCACTGCATAGACAAATTATTGGTTAGGTAGTATAGCGAGGACTTTACTAACACAGACTGTACACAAGTAGACTGCAGGAGGAGGAGGAAGAGGAGGAAGAGGAAGATCTGCATTTTGCAAATTAGTTCAGATACGCAAAGGCAGTGTCAGCTAGTGTGTTTTTTTACTAGTGCGATGAATTTCAGAGCTTTTGGGACGTTGTGTATTATCAGCTCTTTCCCTGCATATCACTAGAGAGACAGCATGACGATCTTAACTCCCCACCTCAGAAACACCTTGAGACAGACTTTAAAAACAAAGTGTTTTCCTCTCCCGCCTCATGACCCCCCCCCCATGGAGACCTGATATGTTTTGCTGTGCTCATGCTAGCAGCCGTGGGGCCTGGTCTCACATGCTCGTCCTCCTCACTCGGCTGCCGCTCGTCACTATGGACCGGCTCCGAACCCGTGTCTGTGAGCGCGGTGCTGCTGACCGGATTCCCCAGGATTCCAGCCTCCACCTGTCAACAGCCATGTTAGATCTGTACCCGCTCCGTTGTTTTTAGCCACACTATGTCCTGCGAATCCCCACAACGCTGCATTACTTTCACCACGAACACTGAACACTTTATGATTGCCTGGAGAAATTTGCTTTGGGTCGTTCTAGAGCAGTTCCCCAACCCAGTCCTCAGGGTTCCTCGACAGCCCACATGTTTCCTTCTACCCACCTCTCAGCCAATCAGGAACACCGAGTACCTGGTACTGGGAGCTGGGAGGGAGCAAAAACATGGACTTTCTGGGGATCCCTGAGGACTGGGTTGGGGAACATTGTTCTAGAAAACCCTGAATGGTATTTTCCTGTTGTCAGGGCCACCACATGTATTTACTATCTAACAATGTGTTTCATTTTTGAGAACAGCTGTACTGTTTTGTGATATCTGTATCAAAATCCCCATTACCCTTACTGGTTTCTAATCCTCATTAATAATTACTGATACAGTTAACAACATGAAACGATCCCCTTTTGATGTGTGAGCCCTGTAATTTCTGTCCTACTGCTAAATCTGCCAGCCTACAGGATGCATGCCGGGGTGTTGCAAGATATGTTTGTTTTGTCTATTTTCCACTATACTATTGCCTGTAATGAATTAATATTCCCAGAGAAATCAAACTAAACTCTTAGCTCACATGAAGTCCTGGATAGTAATCTTCAGATCAAAGCCTCACCTTCGTTCTGACAGCTTAATGGGTCTGTAGCAGCTGAATGAGCCTTAAATCCTCTGCCCCATGCAGAGCTTGTCCTGACTTCATCAAGGCGCTACGTGGCTTACTGTTGTGACACTAGGTTGCCTTGTCATCTGTCAAAGCTTTTGGCCTTTACGGGAATGAGAGAGAGCAGATTTTTTACAAATCATACAGGGGCATTGTCACTGTAAATAAAGCTCTCAGTTTGGCTAGAAATTATCCAGCAGCACAGGCTAATTGTTTTTATGCGACTTTTATTAGTTCCATTAAAGTTAAAGGCTATTTAAAAATGTTACTGACTGAACAAAACCAGCCAGGAAAGGTAGCAGTTTTTTATGTATCTTGCAAATTATCCTTCCATGACAGGAAAAAATAAAATAAATGAATTGCTGATACTTCACATCTCCAGGGTTGCAGGATCGAAGCTCACCTCTGTTCAGGTTGTATGTGGAGATCACATGTTTTGTGTCACACTCGCAAGCTGGCGAGCCGGGAAGCAGGCGAACAGAGCCGGACTTACGGGCAAAAGGCGTTTAATATGGGCAGAATGACGACAGACATCCAACACGACATAACACCACAATGACTGATCTGGGGAAGACTGACTGAGACTCGGACTAAATACACAAGACAAGCTGAGGGTAACGAGCAACAGGTGAGAACAATCAGGCAGAAACAGGAGGTAACGAGGTGGGCGTGGCACACACGAGGATCGGACGGAGCTGGGCGTGACATTTTGCTCATGTTTTGCTAGTATCTATCTGCAGTCCAAAGACATAGTTAGGATGGGTCGGATAAATGGCACCTTTAAATTGCCCGTACTGAATTTCCAATATTTTAATAAAAGTGCGACAACTTTTATCCTGCCTAAGGAGCAGGATAAACTGCTGAAAAAGTATTAGTGATGGACCAGTTGGGCACTGCGTGCCGTATTAATGCTCCGTATTGTCCTTGTGTATTCCATGTTGACACTGCATATTGTCACTGCATGCTGAATGACGACACTGTACATTGTCAATGCATGCTGTATGGTGACACTGCACGTTGTCACGGCTTGTTCAGTATTGACACTGCATGCTGTCGCTCCATATCATTGCTGAATTTTTATTGGCTCATTCACTCACTTGTGACTTTTGTTGCTTTCATTACTTTCAAAAATGTTACAATACATAATTATATAAAGATAAATAATTCCCAGTACTAATGAATATTGTATTTTCTGTAAATTATGCTACAAGCATAAGGATGGCAAAATATCTGGTAATTATAAAACAGTTCCAGGCATATAAATTACTTTGGAAATAATGGCAGGATTTAATAGTATTGATAAGAGCAGTAAAATAAAGTGGACAGTATGTATAATGAGAGTATTGTGATCATCCGAGATCATACGAGAGTATTGTGATCATCCGAGATCATACGAGAGTATTGTGATAAAGCTTCTTTCCATGCACTGGAAACCTGAAGAAAATACAATTGTAGTGAAAAATGGATCTATAGCATAATTAAAATTCAGGCATTTCCCGTACAGCGACAGAGGTCTAAGTGATATTTTCAGCTTTAACTACTGGGGGAAAACATAGTTTTGTTTAGATCACAAATCATCCCTAATTACCATCCCGCCGTTTTATAACAAAGGGCCGTATTGTAATGAGCCGCTTCCTCTTTCTGCTCATTTCTTTGAGGTTCTGTGGTGTTTCCAACAAGACATAAGCATGCTGTTTCACCTTCAACACGTGCAGGAGCTAACCAGGGGAATGAGAGCGCCCTCTGTAGGCCGGCTGTCCTGTGTGCGGCACCACTGGAGCAGCTGGGGGTTAAGGGCCTTGCTCGGGGGCCCAATGGTGACAGAAGTTGCCTGGTCCTGGGATTTGCACCGGCAACCTCCCAGTCATGCATACAGTCCTAACCAGGGGCATATGCAGGGCTGGGGTCATGGGGCCACTGGCTCCAGCATTAAGCTCATTGGCCCTCAAAGTGCTCCCTCCCCTGTCACTGGCCAATGATACGGCTGGCCCCCTGTATGAATTATGACCCTTCTAAAAGTCCTAGAATCGCCCCTGCTTCTAACCCACTGAGCCACAAACTGCACATTTTTCAAGGTTTCTAATTTAGTGGACTCACCCCCTGATGGGGTTCAGGTGTCATTTGGGCAGCAGATATGAGCTGGAAGGACCAAGACTGGTTAGACCCTGGTAATGAACACCTACCTGGTATGGAGGAAGCCTGAAGAGCAAGGCTACAGCCAGCCTCAGCTCCAGCCTCAGCTCCAGCCTCAGCTCCAGACACAGTGTGGGCTCTGGAGCCAGAGCACCTCATCAGCTATGGATTCTCCCCTGGAGTTCCTCCTCCTGTGAGAGAGAAGAGAGGAAAACTCTGACTGCCAGGGGCGTATACAGGGGCGGGGCCAAAGGGGCACTGGCCCTAGCTGAAAGCTGATTGGCCCCCAGGAAGCATGTCATTTGGTCGAAGCATATCACTGGGTCATGATAAGGTTGATCCCACTATATGAATCAGGGCCCCTCTTATGTTCCCCACCTTAAAAAGTCCTAGAATCGCCCCCTCTGACTGTTGTTTGTGTGTATGCAGTTTGGGGCATCCAGCCTTCTTATAGTAAGGGGTCGAGGTACTGAAATGGGCACCATCTATGCAGTCTGTGATTCTAGTGGCAGACTTCAATGCTCATGTGGAGGATGGAGAGACCTGAAAGGGCATGACTGGGAAGAATGGCCCCTTGGAGTGTTACTGGACTGCACACCATGTCTGAACATAAGGATGCTGATAAGTGCACACGGTACCCAAGCAGCCTAGGCTAAAGGTCAATGCTGTAGTTACTCCGTCCGACTGGAGGCCATGTGTTCTAGTCATCAGATGAAGAGAGAGGTTGGAGCTATCAGCTGAGCACCACTCAGAGGAAGCCAGAAGGACCTGGGCAACCTGGACAGTTTGCAAGGAACATCTGGCTGAATCTTCTGTGTATGTTGAATTCAAATCACAACTGTGGAAAAACTTTCTCTGTGTACCAAGTGAGGTTGGGGACATGGACCCTATAAGGCCTCAACTGTTATAGCGTCTGCAAAGAGGTGGAGGCCAGTATCTGTCATGGCAATAACCTGGGGACCCGCTGGTCCCATTGCTCTAGCCATTGCTTATGACATCATATGTCTTCTTTCACCCATAACTGATGACATCACACACCTTCCATTGCACATATCTTCTTTCACCGATCAATGATGTCATTACACATCTCCCGCTGCTCTAGCAATTGCTGACGGCATCACATGTCTTATTTCACCAGTTACACCACTTACTGACAGTTAGTGATTCCATCACTTCATTGCTGCCTTTTCACCACTGCAGAGAGGCAGTAGGAGGGACCAGGAGAGGAAATTCACAAAGTGACATTTTTCATTAACCACACAGATGGCATAGTGCACCAATATTTGGATATGATTGAAATTTCATACTAAGAAACAGATTATCTTACAATGCAAATTCTTCTGCAAGTCAAGACAAGTTTTAATCAATTTTTAATCTGCTTTTGATGGGCCATTCAAACCCCAGTAGCACATCATCTAATGTATTTTCCTGAACTGAGCAACTTTGATATTTTTACTAGTGTATAAACTTCTCAGGCAAAGTATAATAGTCAAAGCCATGTCTGATACAGTTACTGCCAGAGTAAAGAAGGACAACAGACAGCACCCACCACAACAACCCGCCACAACAACCCGCCATAACAACCCGCCATAACAACCCACCATAACAACCCACCATAACAACCCGCGACAACAACCCGCCATAACAACCTGCCATAACAACCCGCCACAACAACCCGCCATAACAACCCGCCACTTACAAAGTCCAGCAGCTCAGCTGTGGATGAATGAAGTGAGTGAAATCACTGAGTTTCTTGAGATTTTCTCCACTCCTGACCCTGTAGATGACTGGGAGATTCCTCAAGGTAATCACTACAACAGACTAGTTCATCGCGGGCAAAAATGCTTAATTACTTCTAGCTCACCGCTGATACAGTACAGATGTGAAATTAATCGCTCTCCCCAACAGGGTATTTTTCCAGGAGATTATTAAATAACATTCTGTTGATTTAGCAAAGTGAAGCTTTTGGTTAGAGGCTGAGCATCACAGAGCAGATGTCTGCTACAATATACAGGACAGCAGGATTTAATGAAACACATTATTTTATTACAGGAAAGCGGAAACACAAAATCATGTCTAGGTCCCTTTAAGAAACGCAAGCGAGGAGACGAATTAGAAAGCGCTAATACCTGTCACTACACATCCCAGACCTGTTCAGGATGCCTCCCTTGTGTTTCTAAGGGAATTAGTCCGAACAGGGCCAGTTAAATGTCATTAGCTGGGTTACCTGTGGACACAGGACTGGTGACCAGAGAATTGAAGATTTATTATATTGTAGACCAGGGTATAGTGAAAGAGGTCATAGCACCATAATCCATAGATACTGCAGCAAGCTTAACGTAATGGAACACAATCAGAAAGCTTGTCTCGAGCTGTGAGAATGTGTTAGAGAGAGCAGCGGAAAGCATTTATCATTGTCTAAAACCCAGTTTAACATTATTACAATATCCAGTATGTTTAGGACAATGAAAGGTGTCACATAGTGGTGGGCGATATGGGAAAAATATCATACCACGATTTTTTTTTCAGGCAGGATCACAATCCACAGTCTTATCAGGACTCTTTTTCAAGTTGGTTTTAAGACGATTTTGCAAATGACTGCAAATCAGCCACTGATGCACCCACGTGGGTCCCCTCGCTGTTTGACTGTCAGCGTACTGTCAGGTATTTTCTTTTGAGGTGGTGAAAACGGTTTGTTGTGTTGCCATCCGACATGCAAACTTTATCTTTGCAGATTTCGCACATAACTATTGCTTGTGCCGTGTCGGTTTTGTAAAATTCAAACAAGGTTCTTTATTAAAAATAAATTATTTTTAAGGACCAGCTCCGCCATGCAGTCCATTCCGCTACGTTGCCAAACATTGAACGTGTTGCATGTTCCGCTTTGCATGTTGGGAGGAGGGTGTGAAAGGGAGAGGGGAACTACCTACTGTTTGCTATAACCGGTATATTGGTATGTCGGAACGGATTTGGCTGACAAAACAACTATATGCGTGTATGAGCCATAGAACTGCAACTGATAGGATGTGCACTGTAGCACGATACCAACGATCTCAGTAAATAGCCTATATATGAATATTTGGCAGGTCGTGGAGGGATCGTTCACGATCTAAGCTCGTCAAAATTACCCATATTAAAATGTGTCACCTGGCATTGTTTTTGCCATCTTTTTCCCCCAGTGTGGTACAACTCACGTCATTAATTAATCATTTGAAATTAAAATACAAGTAATTTGAAAAAACAAAAATACATGTAAAATAGTAGACGACGAATACAAATTACTTATACTTTTATTAAATATATTTTCTCACACCAGTATTTTGTATTTTATTTTGTTACATTTGATGTGCAAGTATTTGTAATTTGTAGCATCTCAGAATATGGTTACATTGCCAAA